ATTCAGGATACTGGACCATGTTGGTCAACATGGCAGTTTCCTATGGAACGTACTTGTGGAATGTTACAACCGCTAGCAAAATCACGTCTCCATCCATATAAAAATCTAACAAACAATGTATATTTGTTAGAATTATTTAATAATTTGTGTTATTTTAGAAAATTTTATGATCAGATTTTTCCTTCTATACCTTGTAAAGAGTATAAAGAACACCTGGTTTATACAAATCAGAATTATGAAGAAGAATTTCAATGGCCTTCTAAAACATATACTCTTACATTCCAAGAAGTTAAAAAAATAAAAGATCATTTATCTGTAATAGATAATCGTGCATCAGGAATGCGATTAAATGTATGTATATTATTTTATCTTTAATTTTAAAGTTAAATATTGACTAATATTTACATTTTTTAGGATTTTGAAACCAACGGAACAAAATTTGGTCATTTAATAACTTCCGATGGTCGAGTAATTGGATCAGAGTGGATACGTAGAAATAAAGACTGGGCACGAATTAATTACACTGTTTTGGTTAGTATTTTATAATATAATTATATAAAATAATCATTTATTAAATTTTGAAGTTTTATTTAATAATTTTATTTTAGACCCGTTTAGAAATTGACAAATGGGCACACTTACCAAGTGCAATCCCGGAATTTGTAACTAAATCATTTTACGCCCAGGTTAATTATTTTTTTTTATACGAATATATGGATCAGAAAATAATGCTAGCGAACGTAACATGGACAAATGAAGTTAATGAAGATTCATTAGGTACAACTTCCTTTGTAGGTGATGGTTCTACACAATTTATTGATGTTACTGCAATCAATAGATGTGTAGGTTTTATGAAATTGGGACGTAAAACATATATTATTGATAAGGAATGTATGGAAGAATGGGAATAATAATTTAATTAAAAATTGTCTATTTAGTCAAATGGTAAATTGAGTATTTCGATGTAAACGGATTTACATCGAAAGATATGCGATGTGCATGTCGGATTTTCTTAAATAGTGAGTTTAGTAAATAAATTCTTATTTCGGATTTTCTTAAATAGTGAGTTTAGTAAATAAATTCTTATTAGTTCTTTTGCATTGTACTTTAAAGTTCTTTTGTATTGTAAATTTTTATTACGCGTTTTATATAAAATCTCTTAATTTCAATCTAATAAAATTAGAAATAAACGTTTGCGACAATTCCAAATACCCATTATATATTATATTCTCTGGCTGGTTGATTCCATCTTACCTATAGAATGGACATCATTATTAATAACAGACTTATTTATTTATCACAGACGTATTGCAATGTATTATAATATAATGTTTATAAATAAAATTGTTTATAGATACAACAATTAGGCAGAGAGTCAATTTGATATTTAGCCTTTATAATAAAAATCACGTTAATACTATAGCAATAATTATAATAATATGAATATTTTTTTTATTAAAATGATTTATTAATTAATACTATTAAAATGAATTATTAATCATCGTCAATTTCCCAAATAGCCAGGCTAGACTGGCTAGCCTGGCTAGAATCCTCTCTTTCTAATTCATCATCAAATACTTGGACCACTTGCTGATCCTGCTGTTGCTGTTGACTTCGTAATAATTCATCAAATATTTGGACCACTTTCTGATCCTCTAGACTTCGTAACTTTTGATCCTGATCAGGATGATCAGAATTCTGCTGATGCTGTTGCTGTTGTTGTTGTTGACTTCGTAACTGATCCTGCCGTTGTTGTTGTTGTTGTTGTTGACTTCGTAACTTATGATCCTGATCAGGATCCTGTTGTTGTCTTTGTAACTTTTGTGACTGTTGTGACCGTTGCCGTTGTAATTCTAAAAATATTATTTAGAAATCAATACTATTTAGTAAAAAGAAATTAAAAATTTTACAGATTCAAAATTAAATATTTACTTGGTTTTTTCCAAAACCCACTTCTGAACTCTACATGATATCTTTCTCCGTTTCTTGTTTGTTTTCCTCTCGGGTCCTCACTTAAAGATAATTCCATTAACTAGAAAGATTATGTAAATTAGCTTATATTTGAAGAGATAATGATAGTATAGTATTTGTATAATATTGAATATTTACACTGCAATCCTTTACGATGCCATGGAATTTTTCAGAAGCCTGGCTCCCTGTATAAGTAGTTCGGTATCTCTGGTTGATTTTTGCAGCGGTTGAGGTCCACCACGCTCTCTTACAACTCCCCCCACTGAGGGAGTGGTAATGATCGTTACCTTCTTTTCTTTCGTCAATCAACATTCTAACTTCGTCATCGGTCCACATTTTTAAACAATTAAAATTAAAATTTTTTTTGAAAAAAAAAAAAAATTGAAATTGAAATTTTTTTTGAAAAAAAACAATTAAAATTGAATTTTTTTTAAAAAAAAAAAATGAGGAAATGAGGAAAACGAATGAATTTGATTTAATTTTTTTTTTTCATAAATTAAATAATACTTACTTGTTAATGATGTAATAAATATCAATAAATAAAAGTCTAATTAATAATAATATTACTTATTAATGATGTAATTAATTACTACTCTGATTGATCAAATTGAATTACTCGATGTTTATGTATAATTCTGCGATTTTACCCGCGACTCACCCGCGATAATATAATACTTATAATATACTGAACACCCGCGACTCACCCGCGACTCACCCATGACTCACTCGCAACATTACTAAACACTTTGATGTAAGACACTATACTATTATCGTGAGATTGATCAACAGTTAGATGATTAAATCATAACCATCTCTTATAAAAAAATTACACAAATTTGAACCTTTTTTTTTATCAATTGACAAAAAGAATTTAATCACTAATACTTTATTAACAGTCAACAGGTGCCTCATTTCGAATGGTATGTGATTACAAAATGATGACCTAATACTCAACAGCGGCCTCAATATCAAAGACATTCGAATGGTATGTGATTACAAAATATGAATTTACCTCGCGAACCCACACAAAGAAGCAGTTCTTTAGAAAATGTGGCTAGACAATTCAACGATTTTAGTTTTTACAAAATGTAATACTTCACAACTAAAACTAAATGTACAAGCGACCACTAGCCTACCAATACTAAACAGAACAGAATGTAACAAAATGCTTTGGTTAATTATTTTTTTGCGCCATTGATTTTTTAAATGGCTATTGCTATATATATATATTTTATGTTTATTGTTGCGCCATTAAATGTATTGCGCCATTAAATGTATTAAATGGTTATATAGTACTATTATTTCATAATTGTATTATTTATTTATTTATTTATTTTATTTCATAATTGTATTATTTCACAATTGGATTTCTTATATGGCGATATGCAAAATTGCATGTGATATTTTAATAACTTTTGTATTCTGCAGTTAGCCCATTATTTTACTTATATGGTTAAATTTATTATGCTCTCAATCTTAGATTATCAATTATTGCGCTAAAATTTTCTAAAAAATACTATAAAATAATGGACTATTCCCTAATTTAGAAATTTACCATAATTTTTGAAATTTTTCCATACAAAAAAAAAAAAAAAAAATTC